ATAGATTGTTTAGCCAGCCAAGACGGCTGTGGTTAGCTTTCTGGAGTGAGGGTTAACGTAGTTTCATTTATGCTGAGAAAATGTATGATTATTTTATATTAAAACAAATTCTCAAGTTAGATTCTGAATTTGCTATATATGGATAGCTGCAGTCCAGAGAAGGAAAAAAGCTTTTCCGAAAGTGTGGACAGGGGAAGAAGGGGGTCAGCTCTCCCTCTCGGCATCACGTTCAGAGTGTGAGAAAGGGGTTTTGCACCTTGACCATGTTAACAACCCAGTTTTGCTAGCAAGAGTGCAAGTGTAGTGATCCCAGGGGAGATCACTGTGTGACTCCATACAGACAATTGGGAGGTCTGGACTTGGTCCTGGCACCCCTGCTTCCCTGGACTTCAGGGAGGCAGGATCCGACCAGTGTGTATTACCTCACTCTTCGCAGGGCAGTCTTTGTCCCTGCTGCTTGGGAAAGATCCTTTAAGAGGTGTGAGTCACTGGACATACTCATCAGCTGAATGACTTTGAAGGACTTGGTTAACATCTTGAATCAGCAAGCAGTGTATGCAATGTTACTTTTTTTTGTTAATGTGCTAAAACCTCTCCCAGTGATAAAAAAGTAAATTAAAAGCATAAACCAACAAAGATCTATAGAAAGCAGCTTATAAGGTGGACTAAGCAGAACTGATGAACATCTCCCCCATTTAATTGTGTTGACTTTCTTCACAGTGAGAGCGGCTTCGTGGTACTTTGCTAGCCGAGGTTAAACTACGACAATCTATAATGCTTAAAAAACATATTTATATTTATATATTTTTAGGTCTCATAGAATAAACAAGAGCATACAGTGAAAAACAGCGAAAACTATTCCTGTGGAAAGCAAGTACTTTAGCTAAGTATAGCCGTCAGGATGAAGAAAATATGCCAAGTAAAGTTCTGCTCTCACTAAAGATAATGGCTTTATAGAAACGGTTTATCGCATGCTTTATTTTTACATTCTGAAGCTGCAAATTTAAAGAACATGGCAATGCCACAGATACAACCAATCAATAGAAAATTGTCTGCCAAACCTACACTGAGTGTTTTCCCATAGCTTATAGTATACATTTGTCTATGCCAATAAAAAAATAATACAAAACGTGGACGGAATTCTGCCACAGCACCATAGGAGTATGCATTATTGCACAATGTTCAAAGTAGGTAGTGTAGTATCCAGCCCTGTCAATGCCCAGCATTTTGTTCTGGAGGCATTAACTACTTACAGAGGTTTTGGTTCAGAAAATCAAGTAATAGCTTACAAAGAGTCATGTTTTATTTGCCCTTATTCATGTAATGTTAGATTTAACTAAACCTGAGCCTCTCAGATTAACTGCATGGATTTTTAAATAGATAAGACACTGTAATTTGAAAAAATTAAGCATATACATGCATATACATAAACCCATCATCCCTGCTGATTAAGTGAGAGGCAATGACACATGCAATAGCTTTCATTTGACTTTTTTATGTAGGCCACGGTGGTGTGGAAGGGCCTCGTTTTCTCACAGAAGTTCTGTAGAACTTAATCCTGTCAGTGAGAACAAAGACGATCGCAGGAGTTACACCAGATTTTGAAGTTAGGGGATTCGCTGTTGATTGAATCCCATGGGACTATCTTACTGTCCTATGGAAATGTAAGGTCCCGTATTTATTCAAACCAAGGGTGGTAAGGCACTCGCTTATGAGCCTTCCTCTCACTACTGGCTCTACTATGAATTATTGCTGTGGTTATCAACATTTTTGAGTATGGCCTTATCAAACCCGGCACTAGTTTTACTATTGCATTTCCATATTTGTGTATGGATACGTATACATATATATAAACTGGAACATCCACAATCTCTTTTCATATATCAGCAACTCTGCATATTTATTAATGCATAGTAGCTGAAACTGAATGATAAATTCCAGCTACAGGTAACTTGTATTAGCTGCCAAGCTACTTACTTCCAAATTTATGTAAATACTCTTCCAACAGTTTTGTGATATTATTAAAAACAACAGTAGCAAATATAAAAACAAGCACCTCAGTAAAAATCGTGCAGTTTGTACTATTGTATCTTTAGTCATTGTGACAGAATAGAACATAGCTTTTGTTCAAAACCAGAAAAAATACTTCTGTGAATATTCCTCTCTTCAGGAGCATGAGGAAACCCAAAATGTGTTTGTGATTTATAGTGAAACTCATAAGGAAAACAATGACAGAAAAATAGTATCGTATTTGTAAAGCATACTATTAAGTGAAAGAGCTATAGCTTGACTTCTTTAATTACATTTTTCTCTTAGAGAACACAGTGCTGAAGGGCAGGGAGTAACAAGACAACTTGAAAATCCGGTGAAAAGTCATCATATAAAAGCCTCCAAGTATATTTTTAACAATATGCTCTTGATGCTTCAGTAAAGCACATGCCAGAAGGATTTGGGGCTGTCCCCTTCTAAGAAGGTAGCTCATGCACACATTACTGACGGTCAATGACTTTGGAAACAGATTTTATTTTCCAATTTTGAGAATTGTTTACCATCAACTAAAACAGAGAATTATAATTTCAAAACTTCACCAACAGTGGGTTTGTAAAAGGAAATAAAAAAATTAGTAGTATGTTCTATCCTTAGAAAATAGGGATAAATCCTCCCTGGCATCAGGTTTGGATGGTCCTTCACCTTTTAGGACTGAGGGAGGACAGAAGAATGACATGAAGCTGGCACTCCCACTCCTGTTCCAGCTTTGTCCACCTGCTTCTCTTCTGTGCATGGAAAGATGCAAAAGAGGCAGTGCAGCCCTGCACAGCTCATGGGATCCACTGGAACCCCTGGTTTTGTAGCATTTTCCCCACCTCCAGATATGAACTAATCAAAGACAATTTCAAGGGGTTGGTATAGGCACTAACGTTTACCAGCCCTTTTCTACTCTGTAAGATAAATTTTCAAAATCAGGCTTCAGATCTTTAAAGCAAATAAATAAAACCTGTTTTAATTTTAATATATATTTTAAATTACAGTCTTCAGTAGGAAGACTAGTAGGAGTAAACGCTTTAACACAAAGATGTGAGTCTTGAAAAATCAGCATTTGTTTGAAATAATTCCAATTAAAATGCAATCTTTTCCTCTATACCTACAGCATGTAGCAAAGGTCCTTTCCTATCGTGTGAGAGTTGTGGGTGTATTCTGAGGAACAACTTTTGGTGAATGCTACAAAGTCATTCACTGGACAACTTTGTGGAATTAAGGGGGATCATGCTTTTTGTTTAGTTAATAACAATTTTATTACTACTGTGGTAAGTAAAGCACTGAGATGTCTATAGAGGTAGCCAAATTTTCCTTTTCATTAGCAGTAACAGATATACAAAGGAGACAGATAGAACAGTGCAGTGGATGGTGCAGGTGAGTTAGATCTGTAATTCTCAGAATTTTTGTATCGCATCTTACTGTGTTCTATTTTTTGCCACTGTTTACAAAAATACTATTTTAAACAGTTCCTTTTTTTTTCCCCAAATAATATGAATTCCATAAATTTTATGTTAAAGCACTAAATGACTAACTGTAGCGTTGATCATCCAAGTAATTTTCACTATCTTACAGAAATCTTGAGGAAAAAAAAAGATGCATTATGAATATTACAGTTACTTCGGGGTACAAGGAGTTGACAGCTACTAAATGCACATAGGAGTTAATTGAGACCTTTTGTCGTGAAGTTATTACCACTTCAAGTTCCCATAGTTCCCCAGATATTAGATGTAGACATGCTTATCAAACTTCTCCTTGAGAGAGGAAAGAGAGCATTCAAGATCGAAAAAAGAAAAAATTTAGGGCAATTTTACCATTGATCTACATGAAGCAGCCCGAAAGTTTAGATTATTAGGAGTAGTATGAGCAGAAATTTCAGGAAGACCAACAGTAGGCATAGATTGAATGAAATTCGTCACATAGGTGCCATTACTGAATACAATTCCCTAACTCCATTTTATCTTTTACTGGTATATAGTAATGTCTATTATCTACAAAAATTGATGCTAGGGAAAATGTTCAGTTAAGTCCACAGCTAAGTAATTGCTGAATTTTATTCTAAGTGCTCGACATAATATCAATTCCTAAAATAATTTGCACCCAATAGGTCTCTCACAGCAAATTTTTGTGATCCCATGACAGGATAAATGGACAGATTTAATAAATAATAAACTTTGGTACTGTGAAACAGGTCGGAGTAGCCTCTGGGGATATCATGCAGAACAGCTGCTACTGATTCTGTTTTCTTGGTGACCACTGTATTCATATAACGAACTGTACCAAGTGATAGCTGAAATCATGTGTTTGCATTTTAAAATGCAACTATTTGTGCACTGTACTTTGTGTAAAGGTACTGTCCACATCTATCAGCCAAAGAGGAGGCTGATATCCCAAGACACACTCTGTATAAATGTGTAATACATTTAAATAAAAATGTTGAACTTTTTACACTGCAAATGTCTTCAAACTCAATTTGTTGGCTGTTATAGCAAAGTCCTTGCTGTACTAGATCTTTGGTAGCAACACTACTAATATATACCTAAAATAATTGCTATTTCTCAGGTTCGTTCTGTTTTGGACACATCAGCAATCTGTTGAAGTAAAAAATATCTGATTCAAGATGGCAATTTTCAAGTAGTTACTGAATAGATATTTAAATCTACCAGCATTATCATCCTACTACACTGCCATTCTAACCATGATCAAGAAGGTAACATTCCAGAAATACAATTACATTGTTGGCAAGAAAGTTACATTACTTAGTTCAGCGTTAATGCGAACTACAGTAGATCTACCCTTGAGAGACAAGATGATCTGGGAGAAGATTTATATCCTTCTTGCAAAACTCTTCAAGGAAATTTCATGTCTGTGGGGAGAAACAGGTTTTCTCTATGTAAAATCTTAGAAAAATACATTTATAGTAAATAAGAAACCAGATTTCAATAATACTAAACAGACGTTAAAGGTCTTTTGCCTTTTTTAAGAAGATTTTTTTATGTATGATTGAAGTTTATACAACACTCCAGAAAAGCCATCATGTGTTAGATTGAAAAATAAAATCAGAAGCATTTTTTATCATATAGGTATACATGAAAAAACGGAAACGTTAATGTCTTAGAAAGTGTATGTCCAGCTTTGTACCATTACTCATTTAACAAAGCAGAAAATAAGATACTGTACTGTAAACAAAAAGCTACAGTAAAGGACATTTTGAAATTTACACAAGTTTGAGTTCATAAACATTTTGGTTGCTCCATAACAGTTTTCCTATAAAATGAATAAAAAACCCTTGGACAGCTTTCATCACTCTTGACTATTTTTCACTTAAATGCACACAGACATACTTTATATAGCAATATACTGATGTACTGTAACATGGATATTAAACTATGATTACTGCTTTTTAACTGAGATGTGTATTATCCAATCAATATTATCTGCATGTGAAATACTCATACATTATGTATTCCCATCATGTTGTAAGTATAAAAACATGAAAATATAACTTTACATTATTTCAGTTATATACATCAGTTCAGGCTTGACAAATATTTTTTTATGCTACGGTTTTTAGAGGAATAAGCCCAGAGGTACAATAAATAGCTTTCCACTGTATACAGTAATGCAATTCAAAAGGTTTAGATTACCATGTAAATATTGTTTTAGTTTGGTCATTCTAGCATTGAACACTAAAAATCAGACTGCATCCCCCAACATTCCTGATGAGGAGTAATGCACAGAACACCTATGGATCGCAGATGCGTCAAGAAACGGTTTAGTTTAATTTGGGGGAGTTACTGGTTAAGTCTGACACTGGAAACACTGTATATACCTCTTTAGCTGATGGCACAGAGAGTATACACTGTGTTCACATGCTTGCGGAAACAGGCTCTGAGCTCATATGACAAGAAGGGATTTCAAGTTTCTGACAAAGGCTCTGTCTTCTCCAATGTTCAGTAAATATTCTACTTAAGCCTAAGAAATGAATTCCAACTAGAACTGCAAGTCACAGTCAGATTTTATTTAAGTGCAAAATAGAGATTTACTGATACTGCATGAGGCAATGTATCCACAATGCAGAAAAATGTAAGCTTTTCAATCAAATGTAGGGAGTTTTATCTACAGGGAAAGCTAGAGAAACAAGATGTAGCTTTGATTTCCATTAGCATTTAAATTAATGTTATTGCACCCCTCCTAGGATTCCTTTTTGCTTTGTAAGTAGAGTTATCATTTTTAAATACACAAAATTAAAATGTATGGTAACTTCAGATTGCAAAGAATATTCATAATGATTAAGATTCAGGAAAGTTTTTATATTTTCATCAGTACAGAATTGCATCTAATTCAAGTTATTATCAATTTAAAAAGACATTGCCAAGGTTTTGGTTTTTTTTTTCGTAACAAAGAACTTTACTAGCTACTGCTTAGAATTACCTTTCAACAGTTTGAAAACTGTTTCCTTAAAGGAACAAATTGAAGCCTGTAGGTTTTTCATACTTAAAAAGAGATATTTAACGCTATTTTACTGTTTGCCATTTAGCAATTTTCACCTATAGTCTTCTCTCTCTGTACATGTATTTATGAACGCAATTGTACAAAAGTAGAGATAGATATGAACCAAATCTTTGGATCATAAGTCCCTGCACGTCCGAGTTAAGAGGAGCTCTAAATCAGCACCTATCTGACTCCTCATGTGCTGGTATGAAGTACAACTCCAATCCAGAACCACCTTGATCTTCAGAGTTCAAAATGCGTATCTGAGCATCACAGCTTGGGCTCATCTGCAGAAAAAACTGCTGAACAGATTCAGGTGAGCTGGGGGTGGCGACACTGCCAAGAACTAAAACTCTGACCCAACCTTGACAGTGTCCTTTTAGACTCTTTGTAACTCAACTGTAGCTAGTAAAATTAATGGAACACTTGCAAATAAAACCATAGAAAAAAGTTTATTTCAAATGTCAAGCATTGCCAAGTAATTTTATATTAACACCAAATGTTAAAGAATAGGATATACGTCAAAGTTTTAATAACAATATTAAATTACAAGATTTGAACCTTTTAATTATTACTTCTTCTCTTCTCAACATTACATATTTGGCTTTGAAAAATATGGAACTGATGCCTTAAGCCTTATTTTCATATTCCACTTCCCCGCAGTCTAGATTTCCTTTTTTTTTCTTGCTTTTTTTTCTTTTGTCATATTCAACCATTATGGAAGCAAATTTATTTAAAAGCCAGTTTTTGTTTGTGAAAATACCTAAAAATATTTTTTTTCCATTTTAAATGTTTTTGGTTTTTTTTTCTTTTTTTCTTATAAAACATGTCACATCTTGATGCAATTGATGTCAAGTGTGCTTAAGTCAATATGAACCAAGGGACTAACAATGGTGGCTGCAGAAACTGGTGTGTTGCCTGTACAACGACTTCAGTTAGATTACAGTACTTCCATGTTAGCTGTGCATGTCAGTCAAGCTTCATCTTGAACTTGTGTAGAAAATGGTGTTGTGTTTTGAACTAAGCATTCATTACAATCCAAGATGAACTCCACAAATATAAGAATTCTTGGCTGAAAGAAAAGTCTTCAAGATACTGGATGCCTCTCACCACTTTGACAATAAACGCACAAGAAAACCATTGTGTAAGGCACTCAAAAGGTTCTTATCAATCACGAGAAATCAGTCACACTGACATTCATTCCCATGCCAGGACTCACGTAAGGTACTGCATGCACTGCTTTTGGAAATTCTGGAGTCATAACACGTCCATTTTCTCCAGTACTTCCTGTAATTGATAGCCTTGCCTTGCTCCTCATGGCATCATTCAAGGTCATCTTAAGAAAGAGAAAGAAAAATAAAATGATACATTACAGAAATTCAATGTTTGAGGCA